CGGAGGGTAGACGGCAGACGGAGCGGGGCGGGCGGAGCACGGAGCCCTCGCGGCCCCTCCACGGGAACGGCGCCCACCCGGAGCCGGACGCGCTGAGCCAGAGGACAGGCGGAGGCGGAGGGAGCCGGGACGCTAGTGGCTCCGGGCAGAGGCCGCAGCTGAAAGATGCCGGTCCGCAGGGGCCATGTCGCGCCCCAAAACACTTACCTGGACACCATCATCCGCAAGTTCGAGGGCCAAAGTGAGTGTATGCGTTGGGTGGGGGCAGGATCTGGAGTCCTGGTTCCGTGGCAGGAGTGACAAGACCTCTTTACTAACTTCGAATGGAGCAGGGTGGGGGATATCTGATGCTGAATACAAAATCTTTCCCTTTAATATCCCGGAACACCTTCTCCAGTGGGATCCACTTACCTCAAATGCCACCCTCTCTTCTTGGGCACGGTGGGCAGAGTGCAGCCCCCTCCTCCCCTGAGTTGTTTTCTTGGCACCCACCTCCAACCCCTGACCTTTCCTTCTATCACTGTCCCGCCACCCTTGGACAGCCCTCACCACCGCCATCACTTTCTCCAGAGGTTTCCTTGCCTCTCTTCTTTTCACCTCCCCACTCTGGCCACTCTTGTCTTTTTTGGAGCTCTCCCAGGCCTGGCCCCCATATGGTCACATCCCTGCTCCCTCTTCCTCACTGACCCCTTTCCCAGCGTCCAGGAAGCTTTGGGCCTAACCTCCCACTTCACTGACCCCATTACTGCCCTGGTCTTCCCACAATCCCCAGGCCTGACTCCCCCTCCCCCACTTCTCTGATCTCTGTCCTGCTTTCCCCTCCTGACCACCCTCTCTTTACTCTCAGGAGTTCGATGACCTTCCTGCATGACTCTGGCCACCTTGGTCTGCCCACTGTCCCCAGAGCTGACCTGCCCCCTCCCTCATTCTGGTTACTGCTCTGTCCCACCTTCTAGATTCCCCCTCACTGCTTCCAAGGGTCCCTATGATCTTTCCCTCTCTCCTGCCCAATCCTGGTTGCCATGGGCTTCCCACCTCCCACCCCAGGTCGTAAGTTCCTGATTGCCAATGCTCAGATGGAGAACTGCGCCATCATTTACTGCAACGACGGCTTCTGTGAACTCTTCGGCTACTCCCGAGTGGAAGTGATGCAGAGACCATGCACTTGCGACTTCCTCACAGGCCCCAATACCCCGCGCAGTGCTGTCTCCCGCCTGGCGCAGGCCCTGCTGGGGGCCGAGGAGTGCAAGGTGGACATCCTCTACTACCGCAAGGATGGTGAGGCACCCTCAGGCCACAGGTTCTGGAATGCAGGCTTGGCCCCTCCCTTGTCCAGACAGAGTGGCCATGGGAAGGGCACTGACCCAGGGAACCAAAGGGCCTGGACAAATGCTGTCTCCTCTCTGGGCCTGAGTTTCCTCATCCATAGAGGGAAGTGATGGACACTGGATGCAGTGTCTTCTGAGGTCCTTTTCAGAGGCCAGGGACCAGGCTGAGCCACCAACTGGTCCTGGCCCCAGGCAGGGCCTCCCGCTCCACCATCCCTCCCCCATATCCCCGGTCTCCTGGCTGTCCACTCTGTCACTGTCAGCCCCAGCTGTCAGGCAGCTGGGACGGAAATTAACCTTTCCTCATCTCCGTCTGCTCTGGGGATTAGGGGAGGAGTCACCCCCTCAAGGCCTTCGTGGCCAGGCAAGGCATGGGGGCTGCTGGCTTGAAAAGAGGGGTGGGCCTGGCTCACCTCACCCAGCACCAGCTCCTTGGGGAGATAGGGTCTGGAGTTTGCCCTGACTTGGAGGCTCACCCAGTTTGGGATGTTATTGCCAGCCCAAGCTTACTGCGAACAGAACAAAAGCATAGAGCAGGGGCTGAGGATAAAGAGTTCTGCAGCCCTTTAAGATCCTCCCCTCAGGACTTCAGAGTCTCCACTGGATCAGTGCGGGGAGGGAAGAGAAGGGTGGGGACTAAGATCCTGAAAGTCATTTTGAAATCACCTGGACCAATGCCCCCCACCCCACAAGCCTGGTTCAGCATCAGAATTACCTGAGGTTTGTTTTCTAAAACACACCCTCTGTAAAGAGAAGCTGACTCAGAGGTGTGAAGTGAGGCCCAAGCAGGTGTACTTGGAAAAATCTCCCTGGCAGTTTGGATGTTCTGCCAAGTTCAGGAACCACTGGCTTAGATAAATCCCTTCATTTCATGGACGAGGAAACCAAGGCCCAAGAAAAAGAAGGTACTTGGCCAAGATCCTGTTGCTTGGGTCCAACCTGGGACTGGACCCCAAGTCCTTGGATTCTCCCCTCAGAGATATCTGGTCTGAATAACTGCAAGAGAGAATAAAGGATTCCAATAGTCTCTGTGCTTGGAAGCACGACTTTTAAGGAGGGAAGCCCCAGAAAAGAGCCCTCGTTAGGGAAGAATGCATAAGGGCCACCTGAGTGCAGGTAAAGGGCAGGCACCTTTGGACTGGGTCTGAGGGGTACTGAGAGCCCAAGTTCCAGGGCCCTGGTATGTATGTGGAGCCTGAGTGTAAGTGTGAACCTGAGCATGTGTTTATAAGAGCTTCCAGGTTCTTCTTGGGCAGGTCCTGGCTGTCCCTCTGATTGTCCCCTGCTGCTACCAACCCCCTGAATGCAGGGGTGGTAATTAGGGGACTAGGAAGAACCTGTCTTAGTTTGGCAGCATCCACAGAGTTAATGAAGTCAGAATATTTTTTAAAAGCTGCAACCTCACCTCCTCACATCACTGCAGAGAGGGAGTGCCAGTCAAAGGAGTGAGAAGTGTCCCAAGGGAACAGGATGGGGCAGCAGGAAATGATGAGGGACAGCACATCCTTTTCTGTCCCTCTCC